GCCGCGCCCCGAGCCTCCGGCGACGCCTCGGCGTCCGTGCTCCGCGAGCCGGCTCAGATCCAGATTCAGCAGGGTTGACTTTTTCTTCTCCCCGAAATTCCACTAAGTCATATTCTGCCATAAAATTGTTGCATATTCATCGCATCACATCTTCGCACCCGTGGCTCCGTTTTGGGCGTGTAGCATACCGTATTGTTCGCCTCGAAGAGTACATCATTTCATCTCATTGCATCATTTTCATTTGTACTCGTCTTGATGCCCGAAATGCTGTTGGAAGAGGGCTTCATAATGTTAGTTTCAGATTCTTATCAGCACGAGCTTTTTTGTCATTTGTGCCATGATTGATGTGTGCATCCTATGAACTTGATCCCTAAATGTGTTTTGAACTAGGCTATGTCTTCTTTACAGAGGTGCTTACCATGTATTTTTGTGATCAATGTGGTGACTAGCACAAGCATGCAAACTAGGCTTTGTGATAATGCTGATTTTAGTCCCTGTTCTGCTGTAATTTTGATGCCATGTATACATGTTGCTACAGAGAGATCCATGCATAATTTGAGATACTTCAGTAAGAGTGTTTTGAAAACATGGTTGTGCTCTATGCATACATGGTCCTGGTTGCAATTATGGAGTAGTCTAGCATGTCATTTTCGTGCTCTACTTTTGCTTTAAAATGTTTCCTGGCAGATTGTTTACATGTTATTCAATTTGGCCAAGGTTGTTGTAGTTAATCCGTGTATGTTATGATGTTGTTTCTTGCCATGTATAGCTTCTATGACATGTCTTCTTGATGGATGTATGCTTAGTTTATCATGAAATGCTCTGTAGTGAGTGCATCGAGCTCGTGAAGGTGCCTTCGTAATTATGCCAATGCCATGCTCTGTTTTGCTGAATCTGTTAACGAAACTTGCTATGTTTACGTGGGTGCCATCATATTTTCTGATCCTTTTTGGCTTATGGTCAGTAAGGGACTTTTGATCTATGCTTTGAGTAGATTCATTCCATGTATTGTTTTGCTATTATAAGTTCCTGTAGCATGTTGATAACCTGCTCTGAACATTGCTTCGTGATGTTGTTTATGCCATGTCCAACCTGATATTTTTTGCACTTTCACCATGCTTGTTTGAACCTGTTATGATGTGATTTAGCCGTAGCTCAGTGTTCCTCTTTTGTAAAGCATCTCCTATAGATCACTGCCATATGCTTTGTTTTCATGTTGGGGTGATGTAGCATAATTTCTTGTTGCATGCTAAGTAGCATCGTGCTGTTAATCGCAGCTTTGTGCCATACTTGTCTTGCCATTTGCAAACCGTGCATCCGTTCCCGGTGATCTCTATATCGATTTTAACCGAAATCATCTCATCTTTCCAGCGGCATACTTGGTTTGCCAAGTTGATGCCTTGTTCATCCTTTTTCCTCTCGAAGCACGCATATGCATTGCATATCACTTCTCGCATATCATGACATGTATCACATCATGTTGCTTGTGCATTGCACCGTGATTTATTGTGGTTCCTTTGCTTGTGTTCTTGCTTTGGGTAGAGCCAAGAGACGAGTACGTGCACGAGGAACCTGTTGAGTACGCTAACGAAGATCAAGCCTTCGACAACTCTGAGAACCTTGCAGGCAAGATGACCATACCTTCGATATCACTTCTATTTTTGCTTGCTAGTACCCGCTCTATCGCTATGTTAGTTCTACCTGCCACTGTTACCATGCCTCCCTATTACCATGATTAAACCTCTAACCAACCTGTCCTAGCAACCGTTGTTTGGCCATGTCACCGCTTTTGCTCAGCCCCTCTTATAGCATTGTTAGTTGCAGGTGAAGATGAAGTTTGTTCCTGGTCGGAACATGGATATTTTGGGATATCACAATATCTCCTGTTTAAATTAATGCACCTTATATACTTGGTAAAGGGTGGAAGGCTCGGCCTTATGCCTGGTGACTTGTTCCACTCTTGCCGCCCTAGTTTCCGTCATACCGGTGTTATGTTCCTTGATTTTGCGTTCCTTACACGGTTGGGTGATTTATGGGACCCCCTTAACAGTTCGCTTTGAATAAAACTCCTCCAGCAAGGCCCAAACTTGGTTTTACCATTTGCCACCTAAGCCCTTTTCCCTTGGGTTTTCGCAAGCCCAAGGGTCATCTTTATTTAACCCCCCGGGCCAGTGCTCCTCCGAGTGTTGGTCCAAACTAGAGCACCGTGCGGGACCATTCCTTGGCAACTTGGATTCGTCGGTACCTGTACGCTTAGCTTATCCGGTGTGCCCTGAGAACGAGATATGTGCAGCTACTATCGGGATTTGTCGGCACAGCGGGTGGTCTTGCTGGTCTTATTTTACCATTGTCGAAATGTTTTGCGAACCGGGATTCCGAGACTGATCGGGTCTTCCCGGGAGAAGGTTTATCCTTCGTTGACCGTGAGAGCTTGTGATGGGCTGAGTTGGGACACCCCTGCAGGGTATATAATCTTTCGAAAGCCGTGCCCGCGGTTATGAGGCAGATGGGAATTTGTTAGTGTCCGGTTGTAGATAACTTGACACTTGACCTCGTTAAAATGCATCAACCGTGTGTGTAGCCGTGATGGTCTCTTCTCGGCGGAGTCCGGGAAGTGAACACGGTTTGAGTTATGCTTGACGTAAGTAGTTTCAGGATCACTTCTTGATCACTTCTAGTTTCTCGACCAATGCGTTGCTTCTCTTCTCGCTCTCACTTGCGTATGTTAGCCACCATATATGCTTAGTGCTTGCTGCAGCTCCACCATATTACCCCTTACCTACCTATGAGCTTAAATAGTCTTGATCTCGCGGGTGTGAGATTGCTGAGTCCCCGTGGCTCACAGATTCTACCAAAACAGATGCAGGTGCCGAGGATACTGGCGCAGATGGCGCAACTGAGCTGAAGTGGGAATTTGATGAGGCCCTTGGTCGTTACTATGTATCGTTTGCAGATGATCAGTGGAGGAGCCCAGTCGGGACGATCGGGGATCTAGCATTTGGGGTTGTCTTCTTTTCATTTGAACTTGACAGTAGCCGGTCTATGAGTGTACTTTAAATGATGTATGATCTTAAATTATGTATTGTGTGAAGTGGCGATTGTAAGCCAACTCTCTTTATCCCATTTTTGTTCATTACATGGGATTGTGTGAAGATGACCCTTCTTGCGACAAAACCACCATGTGGTTATGCCTCTAAGTCGTGCTTCGACACGTGGGAGATATAGCCGCATCGTGGGTGTTACATATGTGACGGCTTCGAAATTTGTAAGAATCAGGGGGAGTACCTTCCTGAATTGTTCTTGTTCAATGCATAATATTATACTCTTTTCCCCTTCATGAGTTTACTTTACAAGTTCTCGTAAAGGTTTTTAATGAGGTAATATCAACACAAGATCATATGCCATACTTTTTGTTTTCTCCATAGGGGATTTTAGGGAAGTATATGCACATATTTATTGTCCTCTAAACTCTATGAGTTTTCTCGTATTGAGTTAAAAGAGACAATAACCATTATATGTTGCATCGTTTTCTCCTTATTTTTCCCACTGGGTTTGAAGGAGTTTTAGCTACTCCTCATATTTTCCCCACAGAGTTTTTAGAGGTGACTTAATCAAGATGATGGATTCTTATGACGAGCGGTGATTAGAGGAAGTTTCTTCTTGAGATATCCTTGTTTTATGACACCACATTATGCTATCTCTTTGTGAGTTTATGTTTCAGGTTCTCAACAAGTTTTCATGAAGAACTTTTTGGAGAAGAATCTTTTAAGATGGTAGCCCTGCCTGGATGATCGTGAGACGATTCTACATGGTCAAGCGTAGATTAGGGGGAGTGTTAAGATTAATTACAAATGTAATTGGGGGAAATCTTCCCTTGCCCAACCGCCGTGCGGTTGCCTCCCGCACGGACGCATCTGGTCTGGAACCAACGTCTTGTCCGAACCGTTGTATCCCTCCGGACCATATAAATGGCATCCTGTAACCATCGATGAGATCAATCAGTCACTTTGATTCGAAACAAAAGTCTCAAGCTCCGCCACGCCTTGTATCTACACTTTCTTCTTTTTCTGCAAGACACAGAGCAACTTTATTCGTTTACCTTGAGAATGGTTACAGTCGTAGGCCGATGGCCATCATACACCGGGATACACATGAACATACATTGATACATACAACAGCTCAGATGCGTCGGTCGGGGACCAGCGCTCCGAGCGCACCACACACACTATGCACGCTCGATGGTTTCAGCTAGAGGATTATGCATTTGTTGCCCTTTGCACCAGACGCCCCTGCAGCGCTCTTCTTGGCCGACGGCGCTCTCCTCTCCTCTATCCTCTTCTCCCTTCTCCTACACAAACAGGGTTTACATATGCATAAGCCTTCGTGGAAATCCAATTTCGCTCCCGGGAGCACGTGCGAAAAATTACTTTTGAAATGTCAGAAAAATCCCAACAAATTTTTATGTATTCATAGTCACATCAAAATGCTACCTGCAAAGTTTCAGGCAAAAAGGTTAAATATTTTAGCATGTGCAAAAAAAAGAAATTAGACACCAAATGTTACACAAAAAGGTCATCTTAATATATTTTTTCACCGACAAAACACTACTGCTCTGTTCCCCATGAAAATTGTCAAGCATGCTTGTGCACTAACACAAACATCCAACAAAATGAGAATTTTTTTAAAACAGTTTACCAGTTTTTTTGAGGTACTATTTCATGCGGGAGTGCATGCTCCAGGAGCCAAAACGCGCCTCCCCCTTCGTCCTTTTCCTTTTTTTTCAAAGAAATCTGCAGAAGAGCTCGTGTTCATCCATTGATGGGGGCTGCAAAAGCCCGGAAGTAAGATGCAAACCGAGAAAACGAATAAGATCCGTACGAATATATCCTTTTCTTGAGCTCTTTCGCTGCCACGAACTTTCACTTTATACGATCACAACATAAACAACGAATAAAAGCTGCGTTCAGCATCTTCGAACCGCCGGCCCAAAAGGGTTTGGATGGCATATATTCTCGAGCAATGGCCACCTCCCGACCGGTTATTCCACCAGGAAACCACGTCCACTGGCCATGTCGGCGAGACAATGGCGTCGCGTTCATCCATCTTCATCTTCTAGCTAGCATAGGGACCGTCTCGAGAAGCCGCCACCGGCGCATTTGGCACGTCTACCTGACGTCAAATCGAGCTGCCTGGCGGAGACAACCGACCAGGCATCACAATCGTAGTACGTGACAACGGGCTACGCTGCAAATCTGTGGCACGCACGACCCGAGGAAGAGTCGGCTCCACAGGTGATTGTTACGTTACGTACGAGTCTATGCCGCAACTATATAACGCAGTTCGAAAATTCCAAATCCAACTTCACGTGCGTGATATAATCTCGAACGAAAACGAGAGTCAGATAGCGAGATGGAACGCACGTGTGGCGCAAAATTAGTGTATAACTTTCAACAAACCGAACAAGCATGAACCAAGATGCAACCCAGCCAAGAAAAACACCAAATCCAGCAAAGTACAGGAGAAGTCCGTGACCAAGAGAACAAAAAAAATAGTATCTGGCCCTTCTCCCCTCAGTGACTACACCTAGCCAACAAGTGTCAGTACCAGCAGCGTGCACGTAATAATAATAAGGTAAAAATTGTTATGAAGTAGTAGTGCCAGACGGTTCGTTATTCGACGAAAATAGAAAGGGTTATTTCAGAGGGTGGTTGTTCCTCACTTGGCCATCATGACCTTGACGAACTCGTCGTAGTTGATCTGGCCGTCGCCATCCACGTCGGCCTCGCGGACCATCTCCTCCACCTCCTCCTCGGAAAGCTTCTCCCCGAGGTTGGTCATCACCTGGCGGAGCTCCGCTGCAGAGATGAAACCGTTCTGGTCCTTGTCGAACACACGGAACGCCTCCTTGAGCTCCTCCTCTGAGTCGGTGTCCTTCATCTTGCGGGCCATCAGGTTCAGGAACTCTGGGAAGTCGATGGTGCCGTTGCCGTCCGCATCCACCTCGTTGATCATGTCCTGCAGCTCTGCCTCGGTCGGGTTCTGGCCAAGGGAGCGCATCACGGTTCCAAGCTCCTTGGTGGTGATGCTGCCTGAGAAATTAGACCACCTCATGGTAAGACAGTTACAAGTAAAAATACGTGCAATGTGCTGTCAAGTATAGTAAAACTTAAAAATGTAGTGACCACAAATGTACAGCAGAAGGTGCAAAGATTAGGAAGAATCCATCTCATCAGGATAACCATTTTTATTCAGGGAACATAAAACCAACTAACACCTGAAAGTGCACTTTCAATGGTCACAGAACACCCAAGCTGTGTTAAGTGATCAAACATACTCTGGTTATAAAAAAAATCCCCCGTTAGTCAAAACAATCATCAGTTATTAAAGCACAATAACTTCATGCAGAAATATATAGGACATAAACATTACCTTACATAATAAATAGCATAATATTATCAATAGTTTGGTTCAATAATATGTATAAAGTATTCAACGGATTTTGGGCAATATTTTGAAACAGCTTATTTCTACATAAATAAGACCTTCCAAACACAAATGGGTATATGGCAGGTGGCAGCAGATAAATTAGGATGCAGGTGTTTATTGCGTTATCTCTCTGTCCTTGCATCTTTCACGGTACAGTACGTCAATCAACAGAATGATAAGACTTATTTATGGTCATGATCAAATTTTATTAAAACCCATGTTAAGTCATCAGTATGAAAACTCATCCAGTTTATTTTCAAGTCAAATAGCAAAAAAGAAGCTATCTACTACTCCCTCCATCCCATAATATAAGAGCGTTTTTGGCACTAGTGCCAGTGCCAAAAACGCTCTTATATTATGGGACGGAAAAAAAAAGGGCAACCTGGTGCATGTAGCTCCCGCTTGCGCAGGGTCCAGGGAAGGGTCCGACCACTTTGGGTCTATAGTACGCAGCCTTTCCCTACATTTCTGTAAGAGGCTGTTTCCAGGACTTGAACCCATGACCTCATGGTCACAAGGCAGCAGCTTTACCACAATTTACACAGGACATCACCCAACATATAATTGAATTCAAGTACGCAGATATAATGCACGTGCACTAGTAAAAATCCTACATCCTCCACTACAGGCAGCAGAAACACCAGTTCAACGTACACACAGATCTAATTAATCACATTTTACATCCAAACTACCTAAAGAATTCTGGTTAAACAATTGACAGTTTGAAACAAAATATTCAGGAGGGATTGATTAAACGACACGTCGTCAAGGGCTTCAATTGAATTATTGAACGGTATGTTATATTCTAAGCCAATGTGGACCGCCAGCTCCAAGTAGGCCTAGATTCTCCTCCATGACCACTTCTTTTATTTTAACAATACTCCTCCATGGCCACTTTATTCTCAAGTCTTTTCCATATGTTTACTATGACACAATAAGATTCCATAGAAAGTAACTAACAGAACAGCCCACATTACACCCATGTTGTCTATGCTAAACTGAAAGGCGAGGGGCTTAGAGCAGATATTTCTGGTCTCAGACGTAACGAGAAGCAGCGACATCTAAGGAATATGACGCGAATGAAATGGAAGCATGGTAAGCAAGCCAAGTGACAACACCGCCTTCAACCACTAGGCCACTCCCTTGGAATACTGTTCTTTCAGAATTAATATGGTTCACTGAAGATAAAAAAAGGATGTAATTACCAGGTCTGGTACTCTGGTTCAACAACCAGCAGGATGTGGTGATGCCCTTCCCCCAAATAACATTGACCCCAATACTTATTTATTGTCAAATTCTGCACTTCAGTTCCCAGCTACGTTCTAAGATATTATGATACGATGACAGATATCCAAACAGCAAATTTGTGCGCATATTTACCCCATCCTTGTTCCTGAGATCATTTCACAAGCCACCCAAACAGTAAGCCTAGAAACACAAACGCACACCGCAATGCATAACTCCCCTCCCTGCAGACAAATTGCACGCCTCTAACGAGAATATGACCTAAACCACGGAACAGATTGATGAAATCACCACCGCACAGGCGCCTCGATTACAATAATTAGCCAGGCCAAAACAACCAAATCGCTGCGCGAAAACAAAATCGCCACAGCCCCGGCACGCTATCAGATCTAGGCATCCAGGCGAGCATCGCATGACCCAGATCAAACCACGCCTGGCAGGGCGGGACCCCCGATCCCGGGCCGGATCGATCGTGGCGGCGTTCGCGCGAGATCACCTAATGCGGAGGGGAGGGGGGAAGGGGGCGTAAATCGGTACCATCGCCGTCCTTGTCGAAGAGGCTGAAGGCCTCCTTGAACTCGCCAATCTGCTCCTCGCTGAGCTGGTCCGCCATGGCAAACGGAGACCTCGAGGGGACGATGAGGGCCTGCAAATGTTACGCGAGCTGCGCGTTGATGGGGCGATGATGGCGTGGGGGGTTTCAGTGCGCGACTGGGTGCATCTGTGTCGCGGGGGCGAGGCTTTATAGAGGAAGAGGATCGTGTGGGGAACTAGGGATTTCCTGGTTCCAGTTTCTGGGCATCCGGTTCACCTTCAGCTTTTCTCCTATTTTTTCTTTTAGTGTTTTTTTTTTACTTTTTTTACAGTATAAACTAGTACATTCTTATTATTAATGATTAATATATTGTTTCAGAATATTTTCTTTAGGGAAAAGCTATTTTCCTGCCGACTGTTGGTTAGCACGTACGATCGATTTTTTCTTCGATCTTTCTGCTCTGCCGATCTGGCGCGTAAAAAGAGCTTTAGAAAAATAGTGCCACCACTAGGATTCGAACACACAATATATTGGTTGTGGCCACAACGCATTACCAGCTGAGCTGACTACCTGTTCTGTTTCATTTGCGGGTTAATTTGTATTTCTACCTTAGTAAATGAGAGCGAGCAAGAAAGACCACAACGTCTTTGATGAGGAGACAAAACCATTTGCTGCAAGTTTTTTAAAGGGCCGATGCAACGTGTTTTGTACTCCACTTGTCTTTTTTTGTAGTGATGAATGTTTTCTAGAGAAATAAATGTTTCACTTCTATAGAATTCGAACAACGGTCATTTTCACATTTGTCATATCTCGGGAAATTCTTTTTGTAATGAGATTGATAATTATATGTACCACAAACCTGATAGCTTATGTACAAATATCGTCGTAGCTTTTTTTGAAAAAAAAACTAATATAAACATACACTCGATAACTTTTTTGTATGAATAGTATGATAAGTCACACATCGTATACCTGATAACTTATGGACCCCAGTCCCGATAACTTTGGTACGGAGGGGGGGGGGGAGTTGACGAAACATCCCCTCGATAACTTTCGTGTGAATAGCATGGTAACTCACATTTCATAGACCTGATAACTTGTGTG